CTTCATTTTGCATTACTTTAAATATGCCACTGATAGCATGTGAACATTTTACCTAAAAAATTATTTTAAATTTCCTATAGTTAATTCCAATAATTAACACGTGAATCAAAAAAGTGATCCTGTTGACTTACTCTTCTTTTAAGTGTGACTCTGATTTTGGATTGGTTGGTTATTAATCGAACAGGAGCACACATAAATTCAAGATGTGAACTTTGGGTAGCATCTGCCTCTATTCGTATCATCTGCCAATTTATTTCCTTAAATGTCAAAACCTAAGGAGAACACAGAGATTAGCTTCTCTTACTCATGAAAAATAGAATAAGAAATATGTAGATCTATAAAAACAAACCAAATGTATCTTCTCAATTAATTTTCATATGACATTTGAGATATATACATCATGCTTTTATTTTTTTAAATTGTATACTTCCATAAATAAAACATCTTTATAATCATATTCATCATTTGTAGAGCGTTCATATTTAATTCTAAACAATTTAATATAAAGTACAAAAAACATTTGAACCATGTGACCGGGGAAGCATTTAAATATCATAGTTTTGTAAATTTAAAAATTCAATCCTGAGTGGCTGGGAAGTTAAATGATTAAGAGTAATAAAGAGAAAAGAATTGTTAAAAGGCAAGAAAGTAAATCTAGCAGTAAGTGAATCTGGGTAACAATAAGAAATGATTGTTGCAAGTGTCCTCTTTTATTTATCATGGAATAAAACAACTTTTTTAAAAAAGAAAAAAAAAGTCGTTACCTCTCCTCTCTGGGGATCTTGAATACGAGTAAATCTTAAATCTCCATGTTCCCAGTTTGCATTTACACTATAGATCCGTAGCTGAGAAAGTTCAAATGATGCATTGAAGGCTTTTGCTCCAATTCTGATGACAATGGAATTTACAGAAACAGTAATTCCCTCAACTACTTTTTCAGCAAAACCATATTCACTGAAAAAACAAAATAAAATAAACTATAATGCACTAAACCAAAAAAAAATCATTAAATAGAATTTATCTGGTGACGTTCTCACACAAGTATACATATAAACAACCATAATATTATGTTATTCGTTTTTGTTAAAAAAGATAAATTTTTGTTAAAACAATAATCTAATCAAGTTAGACATAAGTTATAAAAAATGCCCTTCTCAAAATGTAGAATAGTTTATAAATTTGGAAGTTACGCTCTACTTTATGAAAATCAGTATCTATAGCTGTTTACTCTCAAAAAGCATTAGTCCAGATAATTGACATCTATAAGGTAAATAAGAGAGCTAAATTCTTAACACAAACAAGGCTATGGAGTCTAACTGGAATATAACCTCATAATTTAGGAATAAAGTCAGAAAAAATTCACATTCTCTAATTCAATTTAACATATGTTTAGTGATCTACTACCATGTGAATGATGCTGGGACATAAAACTAAAATTTAGTTGTAGCATCACAATATAACATGAGTCAGTCCACAATTAAGTGCTTTAAAAAAGGAAACAACAGTATACTTGGTGAAGGAATAGATTGCTCATAACTAGGGAAAAATAAATCTAGGAAACATGAATGAAAAAAGCATGAACAAAGACACAGAGAAGTAGGAAAGGAGAGGTCACATTTTGAGAATGACAGGTAGTACAGTATAACTACAATACAGAATTATTAATATGTTTTGGCAGAAGGGGTGTTCAAAGTTTGTCCAACTGACAGATTATATCAATTATCATCAATATGCTCGTTACACCTAAATTTATGTCTCTATCCAGATCTTTTTACTGGAACTTTAGATTGTCACATGCAAATGTTCACCAGATATCTCCATCTGGCTGCCTCTCACCCATGTCAACTTTGTGGAAGATCAGTTGGTTGTGGGTATGCAGCTTTTTATTTCTGGCCTCTCTACTCCGTTCCATTGGTCTATATGTCTATTTTTATATCAGTACCATGCTGTTTTGGTTATTATATCCTTGTAATATAATTTTAAGTCAGATACCTCCAGATTTGTTTGTTTTGCTTAAGATTGCTTTGGCTATTCAGGCTCTCTTTTGGGTTCCAAATGAAACTTACAATTATTTTTTCTAGATCTGTGAAATATGACATTGGTATTCTGATGGGAATTGCATTGAATCTGTAAATCACTTTGGGCAGTATGGACATTTTAACAATGTTGACTCCTCCAATCCATGAGTATGGGATGTTTTCCCATTTGTTTGTATCATCTACAATTTCCTTCATCAGTGTTTTATAGTTCTTGTAGAGATTTTACCTCCTTGTTTAAATGTATTCCTAGGTATATAATTTTTTTTGTAGCTATTGTAAATGGGATTGAGTTCTTGATTTGGTTCTCAGCTTGGCTGTTATTAATGTATACAAATGCTACTGATTTTTGCATTTTGATTTTGTATACTGAAACTTTACTGAAGTCATTCATCAAATCTAGGAATCTTTTGGAGGAGACTGTAGAGTTCTCTAGGTATAAGATCATATCATCAGCAAATAGACAATTTGCACTCTTCTTTTACAATTTGGATGCCTTTCTCTTATCTGATTGCTGTAGCTGGGAAAAGTACATTCTGTTCAGTAAATGGTGCTGAGAAAATTAGATAGCCATATGCAGAAGAATGAAACTGAAATGAAATTTCTCACCATATGCAAAAATTAAATCAAGATAGATTAAAGACTTAAATGTAAGACCTGAAAACATAAAAATCCTAGAAGAAAACCTAGGGAAAAAGCTCTTCTGACCATTGGTCTAGGCAAATAAGACCTCAAAGCCAATGTAACAAGACCAAAAACAAATGGAACTCAAACCAAAAAAGCAGCTGCACAGCAAAAGAAATAATCAACAGAGTAAACGGACAACCTACAGAGTGGGAAAAAATATTTATAAACCATGTATCGACAAAGGACTAATACCCAGAATCTATTATACAAAGAACTCGGACAACAGGAAAAAAATATATATAACCCCATCAAAAAAAGGGCAAAGGACATGAACATTTTTCAAAATAAGACATAAAAGTGGCTAACAAACACATGAAAAAATGCTCACTAATCATCAGATAAATGCCAATTAAAACCATGAGATGCCATTTTATACCAGTCAGACTTAATTATTATTAAAAAGTCAAAAAAAAAAAAAGATGTTGGTGAGGATGCAGAGAAAGAGAATAGCTTATACATTATTGTTGGGAATGTAAATTAGTATAAACTCTATGGAAAACAGTATGGAGATTTCTCCAAGAACCAATGAGATATCACCTTACCCTAGCCAGAATGGCCATTATTTAAAAAGTCAAAAAAAAAAAGATGTTGGTGTGGATGTGGTGAAAAGGGAAGGCTTATACATTATTGGTGGGAATGTAAATTAGTATAAACTCTATGGAAAACAGTATGGAGATTTTTCAGAGAACTAAAAGTAGGTCT